AATTTGTTTATCAAATTTATATGTCTGTGCCTCTAATAGTGTAATGTTTATGTATATATGTATCACAGCAGATCATGTAAAATCAGATATTTCTTTAGTTCTCCCAATAACAATAAAGTAAAAAATAAAACATTAATAACATTCTACTACACGGTATGCTCTGCCATTGTCTACATGTAGTCAGTTCCAAAGAATAGGAATTATACCAAAAGTCCATTGGTCAAACTGAAATTAGACAATTGCAAAATACTCTTTCATTGTTTGTCAACTCATTTTCACTACATTCATGCTCTCTAGTAATTTTTAAAACCTTAATGTGTTCTTAACCTTAAGTATTTAAAGCAACTCATTCAATGAATATCAACATTCAGATTAACAGATTAACAGAGTTGGAAGAGACCTTGTTGACAAATGGCAGTCCAATCTCTTCTTGAAGAAGATAACATGGATTTATGCTGCAAACATGATATCATGTTGTGAAAAATGTAGTTCAAAATTTTTCTGCCTCACTTCAAGTCACCATGGAGCAGAGATGGAGGACATCTCATAATAGTATGCCAAAAATGACATTATCATTCATTCAAGAATACTGGTAGTGTGCCAGAGAATAGTATGTTTGGGCCCCCACAACTCCAAATACCAGTACTAATAGTTTCTTCTGTATTCTTCTTTATTTTCTATCTTCCCAAACATGCCAGTACTTCTCCCATATTATTTATCTATCTGTTTGTTCATTTGTTTGTTTGTTTAGATTTTTGGGTTGCCCAACTCTAGTAAACCTGATATGGACTCTTATGGAATCTTCTGAAATCAAACATGTCTGCAGGATGAATAACAAAATCACTTAAAATATGAAGGCTTTACTGTATTTAATTATAAGATTTTTATCGCTGCCCATCTAAAAACATGAATATGGGTGGCTCACAACAACAATAAAAGCTCCAATAATAAAATACAAACCTACAAAACAGGCACAAAACTAGACACATCAGTCACTTCTTGGAATGCCCTACAACCAACTCCAGACATCCTTACTCTATCCCAGTACCTGGGTTAAAAGGCAGATCTTGATGGCCTTGTGAAAGGCTAGAAGGTCTGCTGAATCATTGAGTAGAGGAAGGTTCATAAGGCTGGGGATGTCATGGAAAACAAACAGTTCAGAGGTCCCACTAGATTTGAAGACTTCAGGGAAGGGGCCTGGAATGTGCTGTCATATGCAATCTATTAGGATGGATAGATACTCTCAGTGAGAGCCAGTCCCATAAGTATTTATCTGGTTTATTTCATATCTGATCATCTGTCCACAGAGATTCCCTTGAATCAATGACTTTGCCAAAATATTTTAGGGTAAATTTTATAGTTGTGTATTGGATTTGGAGCTCATATTTCAGTTTTCTTCTAAATTATGTTCTGTAACCATAAATCTATTTACAAGCCATCGATGACAAAAGAATGTTTGGAAACTCCTTGTTCAGTTTAATTAGTTGAGGCTGTCACATTTGCTAATGGTAATTAAAGTTGTACTTTACAATCTTTCAAATTCAGCATTTCCCAGATCAGCTCTGAAAATCTCAAAGCACCAGGGCTATCACAGTATGCCTGAACCTAATTTTTTTACCCAGAAGTCTCTTGTCCATGATAGCACATCATAATTACCATGAATTCCTTTCCATTCTTTGAGGTAAAGCTGAGCTTTATAGATATAGAAAAAAGAGCATAGAAACGTCTGGTTCCTCCCCACACCCTTTTTAAAAAAAAATATAGTATCCCTCCTTCTATCCTTCCCTGGTGAAAAAATGGTGCTAAAGACTATCTGTCCACTGTTTTTTTTTTTTTTTCAGTCCAATCTATTGGCTAGAAGTAAAGAGAGAGAAAAATACAACCTGTACAGTCAGGACTGAAATATGGTTGTCTGCTTGTAATTTCCAGCCTCCAACAAGTGGCACTTCAGCAAAATTCCTCCCTTTCCAGAATGGGGCATAAACACCTCATTTCAAAAATCAGTGGCTGGATTGATGGCCCTCAGTAAGGAGGCAGCAGAGGTGTCAGCTCAAGTGATACAGAAAGAGAGAAAGAAACTTCTGAGGGAAAAAATCCTAAATGAACCCTTCCTATTTTCCCAAGGGAAACATCAGCAATTATATTCAACATTCAAATTCAATTGAGCATTAATAAATCGTAGCAACAGGGGTGATAGATCAGGCAAGGTTGAGGGAAGGAGCAAGAAACAAGTGGTGATTACTCTCTCTAGTGTGGATAAGCTCTCCATATGCACTGCAATATTAATCTACCTAAAACCACAGCTGGGTGTCAACATTTCATTCTTTGTCACAGCCATGAGAAGGTTGCAGTCTGTGTTGGCAGGGGGGCAGAGGTCAACCCCGAGGCCCCGAGGCCCCTCATATGTGGGGTGCCACAAGGGTTGGTCCTCTTGCCCCTCTTGTTCAACATTTATGTAAAGCCGCTGGGCGAGATCGTCTGTGGTTTCGGGGTGAAGTACCACCAGTATGCTGATGACACTCAGCTGTACATCTTCACTCTGGACCACCCCAACGATGCCCTTGAAGTGATGTCCCAGTGCCTGGAGGCCGTGCGGATCTGGATGGGGAGGAATAGGCTCAGGCTCAACCCATCCAAGACCGAGTGGCTGTGGTTTCTGTAGTCCCGATATAGTCAGTTGGCGCCATCACTGAATATTGGGGGCGAATCATTGGCCCCCATGGAGAGGCCTTGTAACTTGGGCATCCTCCTGGATTCACGGCTGTCTTTAGAAAAGCATATGACGGCTGTGACCAGGAGGATTTTTCATCGGTTTGCCTGATTCGCCAGTTGCGTCCCTTTCTGGATCGGGACTCCTTACGCACGGTCACTCATGCCCTCGTCACTTCCCGCCTGGACTATTGCAACGGTCTCTACATGGGGCTCCCCTTGAGGAGCACCCGGAGGCTCCAACTGGCGCAGAGTGCGACCGCGCGGGTGGTAATGGGAGCGACATGGCGTTCCCATGTAACACCTCTCCTGCATGAGCTGCACTGGCTCCCGGTGATCTTCTGGGTGCATTTCAAGGTTTTGGTTACCACCTTTAGAGTGCTCCATGGCTTAGGACCTGGTTACCTATGGGATCGCCTACTACCACCAGTAGCCTCCCACCGGCCGGTACGCTCTCATAGAGAGGAGCTCCTCCGGGTGCTGTCGACTGACGGCCCCTAGGGGGAGAGCCTTCTCTGTGGAGGCACCTACTATCTGGAATGAGCTCCCCCCGGAGATATGGAGGATCTCGGACCTGCGCACCTTCCGCCGTGCTCTCAAGACCTTTTTATTCTTTTCCCTTTTTCTTTTTTAATATGAAAATTTTAATCTGTTTTTTAAATGATTGGGGTGTTTTAAATCTGTCTGGGCCAAATTGTTTAATTTGGTTTTATTCTGTTTTTTAAATTTTGTATTTATTATTTTATTATTTGGTTGTTCACCGCCCTGAATCCTTTGGGAGTAGGGCGGTATATAAATCAAATAAAGATAAAGATAAAGATAAAGAAAGGTAACCTCAGAATTAAGTTAGCAATAGGAAGATGCCAGCTCAGACAGCAACAAATGCTTGCCCAATGGAAGTGTATGCTTCTGTATGTTTGCACATGCGTGTGATTTATTATTTTTTTTAAAACCACAATGACCTTTCTGTTATATTATTAATTTTCAGGAGGCCAGCATCTGTCTTTGCTTTGCTCTCTGTTTTCACAAGATGGTTCAAACATCATAAAGAGTGATGCATCCATACACAAATAGTCATAACTTGTTATAAATTCCACAGTAAGGCAATAAGATCATTAGGCCAACTCAAAAAGTGACAAAATATTAAGCATGTTTTTTTTTCAGTTTTCATCATCAAGAAGACAACCAGCAAAAAAATAATAATAAAGAAAGCAGGGGGTGGAGAGACAAGTGACGGATGTTCAACGTTGCATTTACCCACTGTCTCAAGATAAAAATGCTGCAGATTTTTGTGTTGGGTTCTACCAAGTGCTCTGAAGCTTTCAATGGATACCTAGGATGTCTGGGTTAAAAAGAGCTATCTTCATCATTACACAAAATGTACAGGGAACAAGAAAAGTAAGAAGAAAAAGAAAACAATAAAAGCTATATCCCACTTTCTGGCAGTTTATCACTTCCTCAGATCATCTTCACAACAAGGATTCGTACAAACATTGCCATTTCCATGGCAAAATCAACATTTGCTGTCCAATGAAATCAGAGGTACCAGAGATGCTCCATAATATCCCTGAGGTGGGAGCAAATGGCATGTAGGGCCAACTCTTGGACTTTTGTATGGCACTTATACAACACAGCACATATTGGACATACAGTACATTTTAGCAAAGCTATTCCTGCTGTAATATTCTGGCTTGCTTTCTGTCTATGACAGTAGAAAAAAAGTTGCTCATAAACACACAGTCCTATTTCTGGATATGGAATTACACTTCTTTTAGCATTTCCAGAAACTGAAAATTATCTCATAGTTCAATTTTTCTACAAAATTGATTTGTCTGATCAAAAAAAAAAAAAACATTTTCATTTTGTATTGGTTTAGGAATTCAGACAGGAAAGTAGCTGCACCTTTTCACACGTTCAAAAGCTTTGCAGAAATCATAAATGCATCTCCATCCCAAGAGTTCCAACCATTATATCATACCTTTATTTTGATTCTATAACACCAATTTCTGAGTGAATGGAGGGCAGAGGTGGGGCAGGCCTACCCTGCCAAAAAAATGAGTCTTCCCATTTCAATTTGTCATATTATCTCTAACCTCCACTCCCTTTGCTACCCATTTCTTTTGAGGAACTACAAACATCAGATGATGCTGGACTGAGATGATCATGATATGTTCTGTGAGGCTCTTCATCTCCTTTGGCAGTTCTAGGAAATAGATCCCATAGGGAATGTCTCATTTTATAGGAGTTTAAGGTCGTGCCAATGTAGGAGGACAAGAAGGGAACCCACTCACCTGACCTGCGTTGTTCCCTTTTTGACTCTCATTGTCAGCTGTCATGTAGCTTCAACTTCCATTTATCTATATGACATTTCCCAAGATCCTCCGTCCTTGAAGTATACGTTTCCATACACAGCGGAGTTTATCTGCATAGCAAAGTTCTTAGGTTTGCAGGATTTTCCTTCCCTGTCAGATCCATCCCTGGATGGCTTTCTCAAATTTCCCCTCCTTTTCTTTCCCAACAATTCCTCTTTTAACAGAGTAGGACCAATCTTCCTAGTTCCCTCTTTCCAATTCTTATTAATTTCTAATTCACTCCAATAACATTTTCTGTTTCGATCATAAGCTTGACCAGCAAAGCACGATATGTCCCAGCCCCCTTTTCACCCAAAAAGGGAACGGAAAACAATTCTCCTCCCTCACCATAATGTCTGTTATTAAGATTTTGAATTCCGAAGAAATAAAGTTACACCTTCCCCCCAGTGTTTTTCCAATCCATCTCAAAAGCTGTCTCTGATATTAGAAAAACAATTTACATTTTATAAATACCGATAGTTTCATAACAAACTCCTCTTACCTTTGAGAAATCACATTTATCCTTGGTTTGGTAAGTCAATTTCTGGAAGAAATTTAGTTCTTCTTGCTATGCCATTCATCCTTTCCCTCCTGCTTCAGGCAAAGACATAAAAATGATCTTTTTAAAAAATCCTTAGTCAATCTAGTGATGCAAAAATGAAGAAACCTGGGCAGATGGAATTTGATTCAGCGTAGTCCAAACAACAGAATCCTTGAGACTCCTTACTCAGAAATATCCACAGCACAGAAAAAGGAGGATTAAAAAAAAAAAAAAAGGGAGAATAGAAGACCAGTGTCTGTGTGTGTGAGCATGCAAGAAAGAAAGTGAATAAACTTGTTTTCTGTTGTTGTTTCCAAAAGACTTATTTTGAATGACTGAGCGCAGCAGCCTGCAGGCTTTTCAAGCAGCTGGATCCCATGACATCCCGAGGTATCACAAGCATGTGGGTAGAGCAAGTCTTCAAGTTCATGTTAGCAGGAACCTTGCTTTAGTGTAGATGTACGTATGTATGTAAGAGGAAAAGGGGGAAGGATTACCCTCCCACACATGCACACATGCACACATAAACGCATGCACACAGAGAAGTATGGGGGAGAAAAAGCAGAAGGCGGGGAGGGGGAAAACGCGGCAGATTGAAATGATCTCATAAAGTGCTCTAGATGGCAGAGCCTCCCCGGCTTGTAAAACAAGCTGTGTGGAAATGGGAGGAGGAATGGAGAGAGCGATGGAGGGGGGGTGGAGAGAATCCACCCTCGCAAGCAGCTCGAGCTATTCTGCTCTCACGTCTCCTGAGGCTGTGGCACAGAAAGAGGATCTGTGCAGCAAAAACACATCCATGTAGGGATGGGCGGATGGATGGATGGATGGATGGATGGATTGATAAGAGAGAGGGGGAGAGATGGGGGAGAGAGACAGAGAGGGAGGCAGGAAGAGAGAGAGAAGAAAGAAAAGAAAGAAAGAAAGAAAGAAAGAAAGAAAGAAAGAAAGAAAGAAAGAAAGAAAGAAAGAAAGAAAGAAAGAAATGCCAAGGATGGGAGTGGAGAAGTCGGGAAGAAGGAAACGGGTTGGTACAGCTGATCCACATCCCCCAAACTCTGCGACTCCAAAGGCAGCAGTCTGCCAGTTTTCTCTAAATCTCAGTGCTCAAAAGAAGAGAAGACTCTCTGCTGTAAAAAGAGAGTCTGCCAGGCAGACTAGGAGGCTCCAGATGGAGTAGGGAGAAGCATCGGCAGGAAGCTTGTCCCTTTATTGTAAGGGGGGGAGGAAGAGAGAGAGAGAGAGAAGCCTATTGTAGACACTAAACAGGAACATCATTTTCATGAACACTTGGAAAAAATGCAAAAAAATATTATTATAAATAATGAATGTTTTAAAAGAAAAAAACAAAGAAGAGCTCTTAGGTTTGAGCTAGGGGATATTTTAATAACTACACTAGGAGCCGTCAGAGGGGATCTTGAATTCTTTTGGTAATGAAGGGCTAAGGTCAACATTAAAGGAATACAAATTAAAAATATTCTGTGGTGAGGAAGGGAGTTAATGATGACTGCAAAGTGTTTGATATGGGGCTGCTCTTGAAGAGCACCCAGAAGTTGCAGCTGGCATAGGAGGCATGAACAATCAACAATAGGCATACTTTGGTGCATCATTGGAGACCTCCACAAGCTGCACTGGCTCCCAGTAGGCTACTAAGTGCAGTTCAATGTGCTGATACTCACCAATATAGTCCTTCATGACATGCAGTTAGGTTATTTGTGGGACCACCTTTTTACCCATCCCATCGGATCTGTCAGGAGAAGCATGTTGTGGGTTGGTAAAGAGTATCATTTTGTGAGTCCCAGAAAGGGGATCTTTTCTACCATAACAACTGCCCTTTGGAACATTATACCCTCTAAGGTTATATTCTCAATGACCCTGTCAAAACATCTTAAAGATCTGGATGTGTTCCCAGGCATAAGGGTGAGGAGATTAGCTGTGGAGCATTCTTAGTTTATTAGATTTGTTTTTACCTCAGGGGTCATTTTAGATTTTTATGTGTTGCTTGTTTTCTGTTCTTATTTGCATGGTATTGTTTTATCTGTTGTTAGCTGCACTATGGCATGATGGGCATCTCTATAAATAAATCTAAATAAATAAATATGAACAAAAACCAGGAATTATGTGTTGAAGGCAGAATCCTGGTAACCCGTGGGGTTTTTTTTAATGGACCTATTTAAATAATAGTCAAAACATTCATGAGCACATGAGGTACAGTCATCATAATGTTAGATTTCTTAAAGCCTGAATATCAGAGATGGAAACATTGATGTTTCTGAGCTACAACTCCTATAAGATCTATGCACCATGTCCAGGAATGAATGGTCCTACTAGCCATTCAGGAAATAGAATTAATTTTTCTTGATGATGAGTATAGTACAGTAGGATCTCATAGTGGAAATATTTTTCCCCTCTTGCTGGATTTGGAAAGTGAAAAGAACCAGCTTTGGGGAAAGGGAGAATCAGCAGTCTGTAAAAATAGGTCCTTGATAGGAAGGACAATGTGGATGGCTTCAGAAAAGCATTGTATTGATTAGAAGAAACATTTACTTTTTAAAAATATTTGATCTTGCCTGTCAATATAATTTCTTCAAGCATAATTTATGGATCTTAAAGTAACACTTCATAGAGTAGATAGACACCGAGGTTGCAATTCTGCATCTACTTGGCCAGGAAGAAATCTTATTCAGAATAGAACATAGAATAATAGAGTTGGAAGGGACCTTGGAGGTCTTCTAGTCCAACCCTTTGCTCAAGCAGGAGACCTATACCATTTCAGAAAATGGTTGTCCAGTCTCTTTTTGAAAGCCTCTAGGGATGGCGCACCCAAAACTTCTGAAGGCAAACCATTCCACTTATTAATTGATCTCACTGTTAGGAAGTTTCTCCTTACTTCCAGATTGCTTTTTTCCTTGGTCAGTTTCCAGCCATTGTTTCTTGTCTTGTATTTTGGTGCTTTGGAAAATAGTTTGATCTCCTTGACTTTGTAGGAGCCCCTCAGATATTGGAACACTGCTATCATGTCTCCCCTAGTTGTTCTTTTCATTAGACTAGGCATACCCAATTACTATAATCCTTCTTCATATGCTTTATCCTGCAGCCTCCTAATCAGTCTTGTTGCTCTTTTCTGCAGTCTTTCCAGAATCTCAGCAGCTTATTATATTGACGTGACCAGAACTGGATGCAGTATTCTGAGTATGGTCTTACTAAGGCTTTCTAAAGCAGGGCTAGAACTTCAGGTAATCTTGATTCTATCCCTTTATTAATGCAATCTAGGATTGCATTGGCGTTTTTGGCTGCTGCTGCATATTTTTGGCTCATATTTAAATGATTATCCACTAGGATTCATTTTTAAGCAGGTGTATATAGGATTGCATGGTAAATTGATAGAACCATTTAAAAATATTTTTAAAGCCACCTAAATATTTCAAAAAGCAATGAAATCAGAAGATAGCTTGATGATAGGTAAAAGTCAACATTAGCAAGTAATCTGTGGACAAACAGCATCTGCTTTCTGGCCGCTGTCCACTTCAACTCAAAGATGGAAGTATCTTTAGCCAGTTGTTCTCTATAAAAGTCCTTTTAAACCCCCTGCTTTAATTCAAGTTCTAATCCACTGCCCCTTCCCATCGCACTCAGTTTTAACTGATAACCTCCACCCTATAAGAGAAGACCCCAGACAAAAACCTAAACCCTTCAGAATAGAGTTCATATTACAATCAACATCCAAAATCTGATCAAACAAGGTACTCTTGGGACAACTGAAGAAACTGAAATGCCTCAAGAGCAACTTGGACAATTTAATTTGCTACAAATATGACTCACCTTGACAAAGGCATAGAGAACATGTGCGGAAGACTTAGCCATTGCACCATGGTAACATCAATTTGCCATTGACATCTGGAGATGCAGCAATTTTACCTCTTCAGTTCTCCTTTTCCAATATGTTCAAAATATAGGGCAAAGTTGATCTGTATGCACTTGAAGGAGTTGCTTAGTCAATGGCTGACAATCAACTTCATTTATTGAAAAAACTGCTCAAAACAACTGATCAATGGTAGTGTTATGAAAAGAACAATTGGGACTGCAGTAAAATGCCCTCACATGCATTTTCTTGGCATACATATTATAGTCAATTAAACATTGTTTCAGCTTTTTTATGGAATATTGTCTGGGTACATAAATTTTGCTATGTTTGTCTTTTCATAGAGCTCATGATCAGATACTGGTAATAATGTACACTTTTGTTCTTTCTGAACTACCTGAAAAAGCAAGGATAAGGCTGATCCTGGGAGAGTTAAAGAAAGGAATGTGTGGGAACAAAAATACTGTACCACAAATATTTGATCACTTAACTGATTAAAAAAAAAGAAATGGGTCACTAAGACTGCTGCTCACTCTTGTTCCAAGATTCTTTTCAGGTATCAGGGAGGAGTTGACATGGGCAGCCTTTTATATGATAAAGCTGGGAACAGGTGAAGTTGGAGGCCAATCGAGTTGAACTCTCAGTGGATTTTATGAAATGGCCCTGCTGTAGCCTAGTGAAATGGATCATCATGAAGCTCTTTTTATTTTTTTCTCCCAGATATTTGATGGAAGGCTCCTGTTTCCCATTTCACCCTGCTAAAGCCTGATGGAATGCCTCAAGCATTCTATCTATCTTTCCTATTTTCAGAGAGTGGTATGTGCGACAATGCAATGTTTTGGGACATGCATATATCATTTGAAGGTAGTTCATGCTGTTTACTTGAAACTCAGGGCCTTCCAGTGTGAGATTTTTGTTTTAAAAAGTTATTTTCCTTTTACTGATTCTTAGATAAGTGAAGTTACCCTGAACATGTCAGTGATCAATTTAAAGGAGAAGATGTTTATAAAACCCTAAATATACCACTGAACCTATTCTTTATGGCAGGTCTACATTCTTCCCCCCCCTCTCCCCCCCCAAAAGATTAAGCTTCCTTTTTTAAATGGTCTTTTAGGACTGCAGAACACATGGTTGGTGATGCTATAACATGACTGCAAAATGCAAGAGTGAAATTTGGAGTTGTTTTTGGGAGGGGGCGCTGTAAAAATTTAGTTGTGTTATCCTGTGCGATTTAGAGAGCCCCCTTCAGTGTAATAAATAAGATAAACTTTTTTTTAATTTTGTGTTTCCGTTTTCATTTTTGTGCCATTTTATTTTATGTTTTTTAATGAAACATCCAATTCAAAACCTACTGACACTGCTTGTCCTCTAAATGCAGTCTATTGTTCATGCCTTGTGACTTGCCTCTTTATTTTGGTGTTCTGCCCTAAGAAAAATGAAAGGGCTATTGTGCACACTGGTTAATATCTAAGTGTAAATACAGCATTGCATCTTAACAATAATTTTCCAGATTTCTGGAACATTATACAGTATTTATTAGATATGTTGAATGGCCTGATAGAAGCTGGAACTTAATAGAATCCATGGTGGCACAGTGGTTAGAGTGTAGTACTGCAGGCTACTTCTGCTGATCACCAGCTGACAGCAATTTGGCAGATCGAATCTCACCAGGCTCAAGGTTGACTCAGCCTTCCATCCTTCTGAGGCCGGTAAAATGAGGACCCAGATTGTTGGGGGCAATATGCTGACTCTATAAACCGTTTAGAGAGGGCTGTAAAAGCACTGTGAAGTGGTATATAAGTCTAAGTGCTATTGCTATCTGAAGATGCATGTTTCCTCATAGCTATATTAAGCATATACGTTATCATTTATACTCTTTTGGTATTGTAGTATACCTGTTGGTCTCATAAGACACTGTGAACTTGTTTGGGCTTTTTCAAATGGAAATAGTTCTGTTGAAATTACAACTCTTAATTTGCACAGACACATTGTTTGTTGTGGAAATATTTGTGAGTAACAGTGTTCTCTTAAAATGGAAAAAGTA